TTATAAGGTGGCTTGACCCAAGGACCATTTAGTGTAAATGTTGGGCCCATTAAGAGCCCATGGTGATGGACTCAGGGGTTCGCTGTCTCCTATAGTGAATTCGGCCAGGCCTTGTAACAAAGGCTGGGCTGAACCCATGTGGCTGATGTGTAGATCAATGTTTGGGTCCCACGCCATACAAGGATATCCAACTGGGCAGCAGTTTGTAGGATAAGTGAGCACATGGACTTAATGGGCCTAAAGCCTAATTCAAACTGGCTTAATGAGATTAATTAAAGAGAGGCGGTTCTGGAATTTAGATCAGCAGATAGGATAAGGGATTATCCCTATCCACTCAGAGAGTCCAGATCCAAATAGAGATTTGGATCAAGAAACTTCTAATTGGATTAGGAGAGCTGATCTTTATCTATAGATAAAATAAGGGATTATCCTTATCTCTTAAAGAGAGCCCAAATCCAAATACAAGATTTGGATTAGGAAACTCCTAATGGGATTAGGAGAACCTCTCTTTAAGGCTATAAATAGAGGAGAAGGGCGAACCCCAAATCATCCTTCAGTCTTACTGATTCAAGAGAGAAGACAACATACAGTTGGACTAACGCCATCTTCTGCTCTTGCCTTCTCCTACTATTGCCGCCATTTCCAGTTCGATCTCCACCTGTAGGAGCGATCAAGAAGAGTTCTTGATATTATCTTTTGGAGAAAAGATAATCAGAAGTCGTGCTCACCTACCCAAAATCGAGTTCTTGCTGAAGAATTCGGTTCTTGCTGAAGAACCACCCCGCTGATTCTGCTCCACCCTACGCTGTGTCATCTTCAGTGGGAGCAGTTTTTGGTATTCTCCTTGGGCGTGAACACATTCGTTGTGGTTACTACTACTCCGTATTAGGTATATCCCTCTCCTACCTTTTGGTTTCAAATCTGGTCTGGTTTAGGTTCAAGATTGATCCTTGAAAATGCAGTTTTCTAAAATAGGGAATGTGATTCCCACATGGGAGAGAGAAATTTTGAAATTTCGCCCAACCTACCTGTAGGGTTCGGCCATCCATATGATAGATCTCTCATCCCTCAAATTTGGGGTCGGGAGCGCCGGAACCACTGAAACCATAGAATCGCCTCCCCTTCCAGATGAAAAGAGGCGGTGGTCTCGCGCTGGAGTCCCTGTACATCATGATACTCAAAATACTTCTCGGCCTTGAAGATCCAGGGAATCGGATCTCCCCCATAGAGTGCACTTTCTCGGCCTGCGGCCGGAGGAGTCTTCTCCTTCTGAGATGCCATTACCGACATGGCTTCCTTGATCTCCTTAAGCCCCGTGACCACCTGGTGGAGATCGACTTCGATCTTGTCCTCCCTCTCGTCCAGCACCACCAATCTGGTGTTGGTCATCTTCAATTGTTCAAGTTAGTCGACGCAGCTCTGATACCAATTGATGAGTTGCTGCTCACCTCAGGAGTCTCTTCGAGGGAGACCCTTCCTCCTAAGAGAGAAGAGAGAGAGAAAGAGAGAGAGAAGAGAGTTCAATCTTTGCATGCTTCATTCATTCTCCCAACCCATTCTTATAATGATTTCAGTTACAAAATATCTCAACCAACTCTGAGCTCTCACAACAAACTCTGAGCTCTAACGAATTCATGCAGAGGGACCAGCTGACGTGTTGCTTGCTGCAGTTGGGTGCTGCTTACGTGCCTTCTTTCTCAGGTAGGTGCGAGTAAGTGAAGGTCTGGGCCTCGGGTTTGGGTCTGGGTCTTGGTTCCCAACAGACTCAGGTTGAAATTTTGCAAAAATTTGAGTGGACCAGGCCTGAAACCCAGCCTGTGAACAGGTCTAGTCAAAATGAGTTGATAGCATTCTGGAACTATAAAATTTGGATCAATTATAGTTGTTGGATGCACTCGCATCAAGGAAAAATTTTAGTGCAAGAATGTTACCCATGGTTAACCAAGAAAGAGTCCAGGTTCTCCAATATGCATCCTGCTTCACACACCAGTATACCGCTGACCTAAAAGAATTCTGTAAGATAAACAATTCAAAGAGAAACCAAGGATACATTTATGCATGAATGGAAAAATATGGACTTTGAGAACAATGATAAGTTAATAACAGATCTCTGTGTGTACTTGCCTTCACATGAATGTATATAGATTTGCTGCAATGAATTAATCCAACAAATAATTTTCTAAGTAAAATACACTCTAACATCATTGTAAGGACATATAGACAAAGTAATCCCCCTGCAGAAAATGACCAGTGCCTACCCAAATCATCTGAGATTACCAACCAACCATCTATCCAGTAACTTCCTCCACTAAGTCATTTTTTCTTGATCTATAACAAAATAATTTCTTAATATGTGTAGAACATCTAATACAAATGACCAATGCCTACCCAAATCATCCCTTTTTAAAATCAGAGAATTCTTTCAACACAAGGGACTAATATAACATCAAAGAAGCTATAACATCACATAATTTTGGGCATGTCAGTATTTGTTGTTGACATTTATGACTTGGTGTTCTTAAATTACTTGTCTTAGACTTTTTAATGCCTCAGAAATTGAAAAATATTCCAAAATAACACTCTGATTGGGCACCTTAGAGCTATTGCAAGATGCATACTTTAGGGGGAAAAGCAGCCATTGATTCCAATCATCATCCAAGGCTTATCCCAGGTTGACTACATGAATCCTGCTTTTCCATTCCATTCTATTTAATGCCATATTATTGTTAAATTATTAGCACTTAAATCATTTCTTACTACTTTGACCAGTGTCCTTTTCGGCCGGCCCCTACCTTTTTAGCCCCTTCAACTTGCAACAGATCACTTCTTATGCAGGCTGTGAAAGATCTTCTATGCACATGACCAAACCATCTTAGTCGACTTCCTCTTGTTTTATCAACTATTGAAGCTATTACTACATTCCACCGAATGACTTCATTTCTGATCCTATTTTTTCTAGGTTTTCCATTCATCATTCTCAGAATATACATTTCTGCCACACTCATTTTTTAGAATGTCATTTCTTAAGTGCCCAACACTCTACTCCATACAACATAGCTGGCCTTACAACTTTTTTATGAAAATTTCCCTTTAATCTAAGTGGTATTAACCTATCACAAAAGATATCAGATACACCCCAACTGCTTATTAATCATTGCACATCGAAATCTGCACCAGAAATCTGAAGACCTGAATATGAATTTGTAATACCTTTCACCTCTTTCTGGAGAAAGCACTCATTGCACTAACTATGATTGGTGCACTATAGTTTTAAGGGCATTTTCTCGATATTATTTCCAAATTGAACAAAAGGCATTTTTCAGAAGCCACCCGTCTTCTAGACAAAGAATTGTTATTATAGAAAAAACCACCTCTCCCTATTATGCCCACAAGGGATGGCTACGGGATGGTGTCCAGTCAGCCAACCAAACAGAACAAATCATCCCCTTCATCCAAAAAAAAAATATAGAAGAGGCTAGAGAAGGAGGCAGGAGGGGGTAAATGGAATATAGAGAAAAAAACAAAAAAAAAAGGAATGAAAATAAGAAGAGAAGGGGGGGGGAGAGAGAGAGAAATGATATTGAACTTGGTCTTCTACTGTTGCTGCATGCCCAGGTCCATCACGAGTTTAGCTTCCCTCAACCCAAATCCAATCTTATAAACAAAAAACAGGAGCACAGTAAAACTCATCCCATCACCATTCCTACCCATGATTTACCACATGAATCCATTTTTTCTTTATATGTTTACATCACTTTACTCAACATAATCCTAGATAGAAAGGATAGGTTACACAGGACTCAATAACTGAACCTAAGTAGCTGTTATAATTCTTTGTTGAGTTGAATTTATTAGATGGAAGTTCTGGAGAAAAACCTACTTATGTTTTTTATCATCTTTTTCAATAGTCCTAATAGTTCAGGCATTTCCATTGGAACTTCTTCATAAGAATACACTAATCATTATTGTTGCAGTATCTGTATCTATTATCTGATCCTCATGGATCTCATAACTTCCCTCCTCAGACGTGTATAGTAGAGTACTTGTTTCCTTTCTGTTCATTTCTACAACCTGGCCATCCCTTAATTTGTTGCAATATAACAGTGAACTATGAAGGTAAACTTGTTGCTTACACCTTGCCTGGGGAGAAATAAAGCCTCGGTAACTGTTTGGACCCAAGTCATACAAGAGATTGAAGATCTCTCAGTCATTTTCCTTTTCCTTTTCAATTTGTTTCCTTCAAAGAGAACCTTTAGGCATGCATTTGAATCAAGAAACAAATTTGGTTTTCAATTCATTGTTCACTCAAAAATGATGTTCCCAAGATTCATAGAGGATCCAAATTATTATTTCTCAGTATCCTAGGTTCATTTTTTTCATTGGAAACAGTAACTTTCATTAAACCAACAAAAAGAAATATACAATGTCAACCACTCACAGCATGAGTGTTGACCCCATATATTATCTCAAGATTTATAACATATCCCAAAAAAGATTCTCCCTTTGAGTTCCTTGCTTTACCAAAGTATCAGCCACACACCATCATTGGCTGACTTCCTTGTCCAATTAAAGAGTACTCCAGCTTCCCTTGCTAAGGAAAAAATCTCCCTCATCTGCTGTCTAAATGTCCACACCCCCAGACTTTTTGTCTGCAGCCATCCTATTAACAGCTTATTTTCTCAATGTCCTAGGATCATTTTCACTTTATGAACATAACTGTCATTTATTTTCTCAATGTCCTAGATTGAAGTACAACAAATGTATCAGGAGTCAAAACAAACTCTCTGGCAATAATAACAAAATGACAAAAGTTGGTTAAAAAGTAAAAAAGGGCAAAGTAGCTTTAAGGTATCAATGGTCAAATTACAAAACTCGTCTACTTCAGTTTTATTTTTCCGTCATCGGATCAAGGGGCAGCACATCTAGAAACAAACTGCTTAAAAATCACAGGCTGAATCCCAAAAATAGACTAGGAGGAACATATCTTTTGTCTATAAATTTGAGGAGGATGTTAAAACTCAGAAGCAAAATTCACCCCAAATAAAGAATTCTTACCTCATCAAAAGAAATGATATGATTCATGGAACCAACGTTGATAATTACCTGCATATATTTCATAAAAATTTTTGTTCAGATGCAAGAAAGAGAAACCAGAAAGAATAAAACAGGAATTACCAAAATCTACTAAACGTAAATGAGTTTGTCTAGGTCAGCCTGTGCTTTCATTCATAGCTAAATGCAAATACACAAGAATTCATCATAGAGCCTATAAGAACTAAGAACACAAGCATATATCCATATTAGCATAATCAAATTGCATTAGCCCCATTCCTACAATGTATCCACATTTTCCAGTGTGAATAGCAACCAGTGAACTCTCTTTTTTTACATTTTATTTTTAAAATAAAAGACCTCCAATTCTGCCAGGCAACAGAGATCCCTTGGCTCAAACTTGGCAGGTTAAGAGAAGAGGAGATGATGAACAAGTAGATCTATTTGGCCCCACCATTTCAGTCATCATATGATGTTCAATTTAAACAAATGGCTGAACCTCACTAAATCCTTGCATGGTTACCATAAATATATATGTGTGTGTGTGTGTGCCTCGGGTAACCAAGATGGCCTAATAAGAGTTATGTAGAAAAGTAAGTAGACCATGTGACATCTTTAATGTGATTGGTTGAAATTTTGATGTAATGTACCATAAAAATTTTGAAATGCACCATAGTTGGACTCCTCAAATTTTGACTTATTGGAAACTATTGACCTATTTTTTATGTCAAGTTGTCTTTAATTGATGAAAAAATATAATGCACAATCATGACAAATTGTACCTGTGATCCTGTTTCAATACCCAAGATTCTCTTTCTATATCACTGTACCTTAGATTGAAAAGGACCTCAGATTCATAGAATTGCATTAAGCTTTATGTAAATTCCATGACTTTTCTATTTGCATGTGAATGTAATCACTATGCCATAGTAAATCATAACAAACTCTGATCTAATGCAAAAGTAGGAGTTATGTGCTACACAAAAGTATTCAGTGACACAAGATGGTCAATAAGATAGCAACAGTATCACCTCATCGAAAACAGGCACGCTTCCACCTACAAGACCTGTATTACCACCTTGTGGAACAACAGCCAAGCATCTAGTATTACAATATTTAAGAATTTGAGACACCTGTAGAAAATATTGGAAATACCAGAAAAGTAATCTTTAGTTAGCTAAATCTATTAAGTTTTCTAGCAAGCTTCAGCAACAAGAAAGAAAAGTAAGAAACAATTTGCAGAACTGTGCTTATCTGATATTGAAAAGTTGTTATGTGACCAACTGATGGTGGCTCAGTAGGTAGGATCTCTGACTCATTGTAGCAGAGACCTGGGATCAAAATCCCGCTGCCACCAGGGTTTGGGGGGTTAAGGGGATGGGGGATGGACTACCCCCCGCTGTGTAACCCGAAGAAGAAACTAATCCATTTATGCTACATGTTACATCTTTAAAAAGATGAAACGGTATAAGCTGCATAATCAGCCAGCTTACAAGACTATATGCAATGAACCCAGTAAACTTTCAAATAGACATTAAAGGTAAATGCAGAATTTTTCAGGGAAGCTTCAAAAATGGAGAAGTTTTGTGTTGAAAGTAGTAGATCACTTCAACACAAAATTTGAAAGAAACATAGAAAAGTAAAAGATATAAACCTCCTCGGTGCTCCTAGGCTGCAGCAAAAGCTTACTTGAGCCTTTATATTTTCCCATCCAATCTACATTTGCAGTCAACAGCCTGTCTTCGTCCTGAATGACATTTTTCTCCCCTAATATCTTCTTAAAATGATCAACATCATCAGAATTTAGCGTGGAAAAGGATGGGTTCCTCTGAATCTGTGTTGCCACCGAACCAAAAGACTTGTACTGGATCCTGCATATATGTTCGAGATTCGTTGCTTTAGAAGCATGGAGGTTTCCCGTGTAATCTCTTAAAGGATGGCAGCATGTTTGGAAATGACGCTTTTGACATTGAAAATAATGTTCAACATATGGATTGCAATTTCTTCCCGATTTATACGTAGAACCTGCACAAAGAAATCTTCAATAAGCAGATATCAAAAGAAGAAGCTCTTCCAAACCTCACTTTGCTCTTTCAAAAGGAAATGCATTCAGAATTTGAGAAAACTAAACAAAAAAGGCTAAGGTGCAGCGAGTCAATGCTAGTAAAGTGATATTAAAGCGACGGATTGAAGCTGAGAGGTTAGACAAACTCGAATTTATAATTGACATTTGTCGAAGCGGTTCTAATAATAAATTTTCAAACGACATTCGGCAAAAGTCCAAGTACAAACAAATGAAACAGTTAATTGAACACTATCTCCAACATCATTAACTCCTGTAAGATCAACAACAAATAAATAATTTCTTTGACTAAATCAGAGCTCTCTCATCTACTTCCACTGTTTTAAATTATGTCTGAAATTCCAATAAACAGCTCCATTTTCGGTAAATATCTGAAAATTTGTATTGATTGCAAACAGGAATTAAGAAAATCATGGGGATGAAGAAATCGTTTCAGATTGATCAGAACGAATTTAAAGGATAGTTAAATTGACGAGAAAGAATAACCTGACGTATTGATTGACTTCTCAAAATTAGTGCTTAGAAGAGACTTAAAAAGACTTGTCGAGGAGCGCTTAACGATATGCCGTGAGATCCTCCATTTCTCCATTGTTAGTTCAAGTAGCGTCAGTGATCAGCTCAGCTCAGCTCTCCTCTTGTGTGCTACTGCTGACTGCTAACTGCTTTATGCAGTTTATGGAAGAATAACACCCGTGTGTAAACAACCAGCAGAGATTGAAGATGGAAAAGGACCCACGACCAAAAATGATCTCGATTCTTGATGGCTGAAAATTGGCATGGCCTACGCACAACATTAACACCTGTACGGCATGATCATAAGGATCAATTGGACGGTCATCAATTGACATTTATTTCCTATACTATAGGCATTCTGTTGTATGTAGTGGTACAAATCGGGCCGGATTTGGTCGGATTATGGAGTTGAGCCCAATCTAAGGTTATGAACCCCAACCCGTCCAATCTGACTTTCGATTGGGTTGGGCCCATTCCAATTCTAACATTTTCTGCTTCTTTTTCTGTATTTGATTTCGGTAGAAAAATTCACTCGACCCATTTAAAATTTGAATGGATCGTTGGAGTTTTTAATGTAATAATCGATGTAAATTCATATATTATTTACATTGATTATCAATGAAAAAATCAACCAATTAAATGGTTTATATCAAATTTTTATGGAAATTGTACATTGACAAAAAAATGTCTGAAAAAGTAGATGGATGTGGAGTTTTACATCAGTCCGCTTTTACATTGGAAAACGCATGTAAATGTGAATTAACGGTGGAGTTGTAAATCGATTAACAAACGTTGCCAAAATCTCTTACACTCTTTTTGTCTTGCACCATCACCAAGAAACCTAAACTCCATGCTTTATAATCACATATGGAATACATTTATCAATCGATATTTACTTGTTTAATGTTTTATTGGTTTTTTAGTATAATAAAAGTAAAAATAGAAAATTGAATGTTTCAAATGATTAAAGTATATTATGAATTATGATAGATCTATATTTAAAATTTAAAATCATGAAATTATTAATAATAAAAATAAAATTATATAATGAAAACAAGTAAACTTGGATTTGGTGCAGGTCATGAAAGTTAAATGAAGTCAAATTGGCAAAAATCAACCCTAATCTTAACCTGACCATCACCCAACCCAACTTTTTCGGGGATTGGTTCAGTCTAGCCTTACCAAAGTTGCTCCCTAATTGTATTATTGGCCCAAATCTAATTAGTCATCAAGCGATTCAAGCCTTTTGCGTGCTTAAGTGCTTAATGTCTAAAACATCCCTTGCAGGTTATGGGCATGTAAACCAAGGCTTTCAAGAACAATTACATCACCACGTTTACATGTTTATGAAGGCATTAAAACCTTCCCTTCTATTTTTTTGTTTCCGGATCCGTTACTAACAACTTGTTGTCAACAAAGCTTCAAATAGGATTTATAGCTTCACATCCCAAACATGTATGATACTCATTGATGGGATTATACTTGACATGGTAATTATTTTTGAGGCCATGTTTGTTTTCCAAGAAGTTACTTATCCAGGTAAATGTTCTTTTATTTGTCAAATAAATAAGACTAAATTTTTTAGCCATAAAATCCATTATTTAAAGGGGCAATTTGGTCTCATCCAAGTGTTGGCAACTTCCCTCTAAGTGGGAAAGTTATCTACCCACCACGGAGATGGGGCAAGTGATGCCCAGGTGTGAATTTTGGGAAAAACCGGCAGTTCACTTCATGGCCGATGCTATGGAGTCGCCACCCATCAGGAATTAATAATGGGGAGTGATGGGTCTCCCAGATTTAAATTTTATGAAATCATTTAAAATTAACGACTCCATATTGATTAGCCAGGACAAGGCCATTCTAGATAAGTTGAGAAAGAGAGAGGGAAGGGATTAGGCACTCCTCTCTCTAGTCAGTGTGAATGCTATATCCCTTTACTTAATTTTACATCTAGACTGAGAGCTTAGGTTCTTCATTCGAAACGGTATAAAGTTTTCCCTTCTCCCCTCCAGACCGCCCCCTTTTTGGATACAGGGGCCTAAGCAAAAGGATGAATCACCCAATTTCTATTAGAACCCCCACCATCGTACTTGGTTGGTCGGGCTAGAGGGTAAAAGAAAAAGAAAATTAAGATAACCTCTCGGTTGTTGGAGAACCTGATGGTTCTCGAGTTTGAATTTGAATGCAAGACAGAAAAGTAAGAACAATACAAATAAATAAATAAATACAGAGGAATAAGAGAAATAAAGGAAGCCGAGAGATGAATATGAGGTAATCGGTGTTTACCTCTTGTAGCTTTCAGTCTAACGATACTATAAAAGGGATAATCGGAATGGTCAAACTCAAGTAGAGATTCAGATTAACTTGATGTTGTCAACACCCTACCCTGGAGGTGATGGAATGGCGAACTAGGGGTGCTAACCCCGGCACTAGAATTCGGAATGGGTGTTGACGACAGTGATAGCAGAGATGGTCAATGTATTAAATGGCCAAACTTGGAATGAACGAACCGTTCCCCCTCTCCTTGTCCCTTCAATCTCTTCCTCTCTGTTTTTCGTTCTTGGAAAAACTTCTCCCTCTTTTCTTCTCTCTCAACTCTGTCGAATTTCTTCTCAAACTCCCCAGTTTGATCTCTCACTGTTTTTTTTCCTCAACCGAACTGCCTCTTTGAAAAACACTATCTGCTCTTGAAGGGATGAGAGATCTATCGTATGGATGGCCGAACCCTGTAGGAAGGTTGGGCGAAATTTCAAAAATTTCTCTCTCTCCCATCTGGGAATCGCATTCCCTATTTTAGAAAACTACATTTTTAAGGATCAATCTCGAACCAAATCGAACCAGATCTGAAACCAAAATGGAGGAGAGGGATGTACCTGATACGGAGTAGCAGTAACTCCCAATAAAGGTGTTCACGCCCAAGGAGAAAACCAAAACCCACTTCCACTGAAGATGACAGTGTGTGGTGAAGAAGGACCAGCAGGACGACTCTTCAACAATAACCGAATTCTTTAGCAAGAATGGAGAGTAGAGGGCTAGTGATCACAACTTCAAATTGCTTCTTCTACCAAGAAGCAATATCAAGAACAATTCTTGATCACTCCCACAAGTGGAGATCGAACTGGGTAGGGGCGGCAAGAACAGGGAAGAACTCTGTAGACTGCTGTAATGTTTGTTGTGTGTTTTGCATGCCTGCCCTGTTCTCTTATTTATAGCCTTAAAAAGACAACCTCCTAATCTGATTAGGAGTTTCCCAATCCAAATCGTTATTTGGATCCGGACTCTTTAAGTGATAAGGATAATCCCCTATCTTATTTGCAGTTTAAGATCAGTTTGATCCTAATCAAATTAGGAGTTTTTTTATCCAAATCTTTATTTGGATCTGGACTCTTTAAGTGGATAAGATTTATCCTCTTATCCTTATCTGGATCCAAACCCAGATTTGCCCCTATTTAATTAATCTAATTAACCCACTTCGAATTGGGCTTTAGGCCCATTAAGTTTATGTGCTCACTTAACCTCCTAACCTGCTGCCCAGTAGGCTCTCTTTGTGTAGCATGGGACCCAAACATTGATTTACACATCAGCCACATGGGTTCAGTCCAACTTTTGTTACAAGGCCTGGCCGAATTCACTGTAGGACACAATGAACCCCTGAGTTCATCACCATGGGCTCTTAATGGGCCTAACATTTACACTAAATGGTCCTTGGGTCCAGCCATCTTATGAAGGCTCAAGGACTGTGGGCAGATGCAAGATTAGCCCATCAGGTATAACTCTCAATGGCCTTACACTTAACCTCTCAGCCCATTATGATCCAACACTGCCCAACAAGAAAGGACTTGTCCCTCGGCTACAAGGTACAGTACTGCACTCTCTACTCACATGGATCCCGGGAATTAAAACCCTTTGCAAACATTTTGAAACTATTGTGTGTGTGTGTGTGTGTATCTTTATATAAATATATTTTGCAAAAACAAATTTCAACGGTTGAAATCAACTGCCGGTAGTTTTAGGTTTCCATCAGAGAGAGTGCATCCCCGATCATTCACTTTGTCCAACAAAGGGGATGATCCTGTCACTATGGTCACCCACTCAGATGAATTCTCGGACTGTCCCAACATACCCAGGTTTTGATCCCCTCTAAGGATCTCACTGATTGGCATATCAAAGACAGCCCAATCCGACACCTGGTGCAGTACCATAATTGAGTCTAGGGGTCAGGTGTAACATTCCAGTTTTACCCATCTATTTCTAAGGTCTAGGGCAATACTAGAATTTCGGTCTGGTTCAGGGCTTCAAGAAAACCCACACTACATGTACCTCAGGTTTCACCCTAGCAGCTGAGACAAGCCAGCCCAACCAACTTGGCGGTACATCAGTGTCAGCCTTGGCAGGATAAATCTCCCCAGATCTATCCTACGGTTGTGAAGATTCTAAATTAACACGAGTCTCATAAGTGTCAAGTTTAAGGGTATTACACATAAACGCACCACAATGACATGACTCAATTATGTACTATATTCATTTACAATAAATGTTAAAAGGTACATCAATCTGATTGGAGCTAAGGGCATAACTGTTTAACAGCTCTCCATTCGATAGATTTTCTAAAGGGAACCACCGAGAGCTTCCCATTCTCTATTAGAAAAGACCCCCTTCTCTAGCTTTCCCCTCTTCTACGCTTCTTCTTTCCTTCTCAGCTCGGCAGCTCCTCAAAAAGGAAAGCCGAGAGTCTCTCCCTTCCAAACTCCCCCTTTTGATCCCCTATTCTCTTCCAAAAACTCCCCTCCCTTAGCCTTGGGAATGGTGCCTCTATTTATAATGGAGGGCAAGGGGAGGTTCTATCAATTTTCAAAAAAGAAAGTAAGGTTTAGGTAAGTCCGGTTTTAAAGGGATAGGAGGGTTCAATATTTGGGGTCCAAAGGGTAATTTATGGTAATTTAGAGTGAAGGGCATTTTGGTAATTTTTGGTTTAAAAGGTATTTGGGGGATTTAAGGAATGAGGGGTATCTCGAGAATTTGGACACAATGAAGGTATTTTGGGAAGTTGAAATGAAGGGGTAATTTTGGCATTTTAGGGTATGAAAGGCATTTGGTCAAGGGGTATTTTGGTAATTTGGAAGGAGGAAACTTTGGTAATCTTGTTCGATGCATATTTTGGTAATTTGGAATGGGAACATTTTGGTAGTTTGGTCTGAGGGGTATTTTGGTCATTTTGTTAAAGGTAAGTTGGAAATTTAGAGAAGGGTAT